CTTTTGCCTTCTAGCAGCTCTGTGCACACATGCGCTGAGACCAGACTCCCCTTGTTCCTCTGCCTCACTGCTGCCAGACTCCGGAGACTCTGCAGTCAGCACCCTACTGATGGTACTGGCCCCATCTCCGCATTGGAGACTCCCGGACTGGTCCCCGTTCTTCCCCACTGTACGATTCCGCTGCAATCTGCATAGGCTGCTGGCGAACCACAACAGGCTTCAAACAAAGGAAATATAAGACAGACTAGCACAGGGGCAGGTGGGCAGGGCCAACTCATCGCTGGAACTACCAGTTCACCCCAACCGGTCCATACTGGCTGAATCCCACCCCTGAACCTAGAGCTGAATTAACTGAAAATGTGGGACAAGACTCTGGAGAAGCTCAGTAGCTTAGCCAAACTGCAGGTTAATCATCAACTTACAACAGTTCATTTAGTTCAAATTTACACGGGCACTCAAAAAAGTGGCTTACGGTTGTTTTTCACACGGCCCTTCCAGTATCCTCATGATCATGTGATCAAAATTCAGAGGCCTTGGCAGCGGGTTCAATATTCATGATCTCTGTTGTGTCCCGAGGTCACGTGATCCGCTTTTGCGACTTTCAAGTCAATGGGGAGGCCTGATTCACTTTTAACAAACCTAGCTTCGCAACTGCAATGATTCACTTGACAATCAGGAGGGAGGCAAGAAAGATCATAAAACAAGAGTGAAACTCATTTGACCAGTGTCTCGCTTAACATCAATTTTGGGGGGCTCCGTTCAGTGGTGGTATGCTATCGGTTCATACCGGTTCTAACAATCCGGTAGCGCTGGTCAGCAGTCGGCCCCACCCACCCATTTCCGCCCTTTCCTGTCCTATATTTCCTTTGTAGCTCAGCTGATAGGCATGGCAGGGCAGATTTCTGCACCTCAGCTGTTTTACTCACCAGCGCTGTCGGCAAGTTTTCATGCTTAAAATTGCCTGTTTTAGAACGCTCTGCACACACCCACAGAACCGATAGTAAAATATTTTGAATTCCACCACTGGCTCCATTGTGGTTGTTAAGTCAGGGACTGCCTGTACGATTTCTAGAAGCAGTTTTATAATTGGAATCAGGAAATGCCCATCGATTAGTCTAGAAAGGATGCCATTCATCGACGGTTATGAAGAACCTCATTTCTAGAACCCACAAATTGGTTCCGACATGGCGTACGTTATAACCAGATTCACTCACTGTTTTTGGCAGGGGAAAAGAAATCATTGGTTTTGTTTAAAGAAGCCAAGAAAAAAATTAATCAGGAATTGTTTAATATGCTCCGTTTCCAGTCAACCGTACGGCGTTAATAACTTGATGATTTATACTGAGTTGCTAATGAAGCCCGGGATCACGTGGAAGCTGAAGGAAAGCGTGTTAATAGTGACACCAACGCCAGAAAAAAAGCCTCTTGAAATCCAAATGTCTGTTGTTTAGTTAGGATTTCTCTTCCAAAGCCAGTTTGTACTTTTCAAAGGGCGGTTCTTTCTTACGAGTGGGCTTTTAATCCAGCGGGAGTCTCTACAAAGATCAGTTGAAGTCAGAAACTAAAGTCAGAAACAGGGAACGCATTCCCAATTCCCAAGAAAAAAAAAATGATCTGAAATATCTCGGGGGGGGGGTGATTAAAAATGAAGCCTCTTTTATTTTTCTATGTAGCCCCCCGCCCCGGTTTTCGTTTACAGTTCACCTTTACAAATTCAAGTCGCTTCAAAGCCATTCAGACACAAGTAGGTCTGTCCTGGCTTAACAACTAATTAGCTCTAGCCCGCATCAAACTTTATATAAAGTTCCCTCCAATGATAATCGAAGTGTGCTTTTTTAGGGGGGGGGGAGGGGGGGTGTTGACATTCAAAAGGTACCGAAACTGGATGCAAGCATGGCATCGTCATAATAATTTTTTAAAAAAACAGCTCGTTTGTTAATCTGTAAAACAGCTCGTTTGTTAATTACCTCAAAAAGAGATCCAGGTTTCCAATTTCTTTTCTAAAAGCACTTTAGGGCCCAAAACGATATTCAAGGAGCTGACTTGTTAAAAGGAAAATCGGTCTCAAATTCTGCGGGGTGTGTGCGTGTGTGGAAAAACAGAACAAAAACAAAAGAAACCAAGATGGCAGTCAAACTTCAAAGCCACGGACGAGAGTGCTTGGTTGCCGTAGACGAGGAAGGCTCTTTGGACTTAATCAGTCTTTTGGATGCCGAAGGGCTGAGTGCCCCGTGTTTTGCCCCGATCCAGCGGTAGTAACAGTGGTTCGTGGAAATCTGGGCCCTGTTCCCTTGGGGGTTAAAATACGGCATCATCACCGGGGGGAGGACAATCTCAACCGGCTTCAAAATCATGACTCGGTCATCGTTCCTGGCCTTCCCGGCATTCCGTTGTTTCTCCAAGACCTTTTGCATGGTGGAGGTGGCGGTGAGATTATTCTTGGCCATTATGGGCAGAGATGAGTTCGAAAGAGGGCTGGTCGCTTTCTTCAAGGTGATGGGCTCGCTGGCTTGGTTCATCACCTGAGAGCTGCTGGAAGGCACCTTTGATCCGGGAGAGGCAGTCTCCATCGTCCCAGATTTCATCTCTCGTTCCAGGAACTCCTGAATCCGGGATTGCATCACGGCCTCTTTAATTGGATTCTTCGACAGGGCGGCTCGGTGTTTCTTCTTCTTTTTCTCTTCTCTCTTGGATGGCTTGGCCAGGTCGATCCCGTCCAACAGGCCTTTGGCCGCGGCACGAGCCAAAACGTCCTTCACGGACACCGATTCAGATGGATCGCGCTATAAAAAACAAGCAAAGGAACACCGATTAGCCAAGCCGGAAGTGTCCCCCCCCCCCCCCCCCCGGAACAGTTATTGGAATATGGGCAGTCCTCAATTTAACGGCAACAAGGAAGCCCCGAAATGAAGGTTGCTAAGTGAGAACATTGGTTCAGTGAGGTTCACCCCATTTTATGACCCCCCCCGTTCTGACCCAAGCTTGGTCAAATGTAATTAAACACAAACTTCTTTTAAAAGCAAAACCTATTTTATTGCAATGCTGGGAATTGCTTTCATTCCCAGGCAGAACTAATCTTAAACAGTTCCCCAAGATAAGCACACACCTTTCAGTGCTGTGGAATGCTGCCAGAAACAGAAGTATCCGATTAATGATAACAGAAACCAACCGAAGTACCAGAAAAAAACAACCAGATTTCACAGAGTTTCAAGGAGGACTCGAAATCTGTCAAACTACTTTGCTTCCTGCAAAGGTTTCGTCATTGACATCTGACTTTTATCCCTTATGGGAGGGGCAATCACCTCCTAGCCTTACTCCCAAGTCGCCCCTTTTGTCTCAGCTGCTCTCACCTTCTAGCAGTTCTGTGCACACACACACTGGGAACAGGCTCCCCTTGTTCCTCTGCCTCACTGCTGCCAGACTCCGAAGGCTCCGAAGGCAGCGCCCCACTCCCAGATGGTCCTGGCCCCATCTCTGCATTGGATGCAGGACCTTCGTTCGAGTCCTCTTCAGACTCCCTGACTGGTCCCCTTTCTTCCTCACTGTCCGATTTCGCTGCCACCTGCACCAGCTGCCGGTGAACCACAACAATCCCTTGCCAAAGTTGTTCAGGGAATGATTGCAGTGGTTAAGTCAATGGTGCGGACGTTAACTGAGTCGGGCTTCCCCATTGACTTGGCTTGTCAGACCCCCCAGGACATGGCAATTGTCATAAACATGAGTTCCAACAAGCAATGTCAATGGGGAAGCCAGCTTTGCTTAACCGGGTTACTAACTTAACAATTGCCAATGATTCACTGAACTGTGGCAAGGAAGGTTATAGAACTCACTTAACAAATGTTCCGCTAAGCAGCATAAATTTTAGGGTCAATTGTGGTTATAAGGCGAGGACTACTTGTATTTTACTCAGTACTGTAGGGCTAATTGTAGCTAGCTGCATTTTATGGAATGAAAAGCTTGTAATTTTGTATTCCAAATTTCTGTACAGACAATCAAGCTTAGTTCCCCTTTCTCATTTTCTTTTTAAATCATTATTCAGAAGTTCAAATACAAAACTCCCAATAAAGTGGGGGAGGGAAATCACAGAAGCAAAACAAAAACAAAAAACAAGTAAGCAAAACATCTAAAAAGTATATTTAAAAAACCCTCTGTTCTACCTATTATTTGGCATTAATATAGTGATAAAATAATACTAGCTCGATACCTGTGCTTCGCTATGAAACATTGTGGTAGGGGCTTAGTTTTGGGGGAGGAAAAAAAGTCTCTGCCTCTGCCTACCAGCATCCATCGATATTCATCTGGCTAGTGTCCTGTCAGTGTGTGAGAGTTGAAGGCTGTTTGGAAACTGAAACTGTATTTGCTGTGTGAGCAAGGAGGAGACAGCAAGGAGCCTGGGCATGGCTTAGCTCAACTGTTCTGTACTAAAGCTGCTTGGTGCTCTGAAACTGAAACTGAAACTCCTCTGCTTGTGTTTTGCTTTTGGAAGAGATTTCTTTTCAGGTGGGGAGGGGGAGTGGAACTCCTTAGCATCAGAGCGTGTTAATAGTAGTAATATAGGAAATACTAATGCTCTGATGGTCATTTCGAAAAATCCTTTCTTAGTGAGCCCTTAGAAGCCAAGAGGAACAAACGGGCCCAATTTCAAGTTTGTAAGCTTTACGGTTCTGGAGATTTTGTTATGATGAATGGTATTTCGCTTTTATACACACACACACACACGTGTGTGTTTGTGCACGTGTGCAGACACACACGCATACATATATATAGTATAATATACACACACTATATTATATATGTGTGTGTATGTGTGTGTGTATGTGTGTGTGTATACACACACACACACACATAATAGACAGGTAAAAGGTTAATTTTGTAAACAGAATTAGAAGTTTGACAAGAATTCTGGGGCCTGTTTTGCTAGGAGTGGGAAACTAATATTGTAATATATTGATCAGTATTCAACTAGAGAGGATAATACCACATTGCCCTCCCTCATGAGCTGTAATGAAATTCATGGCTTTACCTCTCGGGTTAAAACCGCAATAAAACAGCTATTTGAAATCTCTGAGGGCTCCAACCGGAAGAAGTTCTGTTCAGAGACGTTGACTTCTGACTTGGAACACAAAGGAAGAACTGGGGGACAAAGCCTGCAAGAATTGAAACACAGGATGCGGAAGGCATTATGTCAAATACACCGACTCAATTCATGGCCTCTTTCTCTTTCTTTCTCTCTCTCTCTCTCTCTCTCTCTCTCTCTCTAATGTTCAAAAGCTGTGCTGATAAGCACCTGGGACTAAGTCGTTTGGTCACTAAATGAAGAACCAAAGGATTTTTGTCCCAAAGGTGATCTTTCAAAGGGCCAAGGGACTTTGATTTTCCTTGAAGACGTTTTGCTTCTCATCCGAGAAGCTTCTTCACCTCTGACTGGATGGTGGGGAACGGAAGGATTTATACTCCTTGCAGGTAGCTGGTCATTTGCATCCTTTTAGAGAGTCGCTGAGGCCACTTGGAGGTTTATATGTGTCCTCGGGGTTTGAGTGGTGTATTTTTGGCCCCTTTGAGGCTGTTTTCGCTCTCCCAGGGGCTCGAGGGAAGCCTCTGCAGCCTTTGGAGGCCGAAAAACAGGCCCATTTCATCACTTCCAGTATTTCCGGAAGACCCATTTTTCAGCCTCCTGAGGCTGCAAAGGCTTCCTCCGAGCCTCCGGGAGGGCGAAAACGGACCGAAAATCAGCTGGGAGGCGCGCACATGCGCAGTGCAGGTAAGTTTGGCTGGGGCTTGCGTGCCCGCACAAATGGCTCCGCGTGCCATATGTTTGCCATCACGGGTATAGGGTCTCCTGCTTGAGGAAGGGGCTGGACTAGTAGACCTCCAAGGTTTCTTCTGGCTCTATTCTGATTCTGAACATGGAACCATGCAAACAGCACCACTGGAAATAAAAGTTCTGAGGAAAAGGAGCTGAAGGGTGTGTTCCTTACTTGTACGGCTGGGCCTTTGCTCCTTCCGCTCCAGATGCCAACGCTTTGTTCACTACCACTTCGTTTTCTTCTGGGTACAACGAGCAGGTGCAGTAGATCAGAGCTTGTACTTTAACAACTGCGGGGATTCAAGATCAGGATGAGTGAGCCCAGGGAATTACTCAATTTCAAGGACAAGCTTTGGAGAAATTTCTAAAAGCGGGTGCAAATGGTGCAAATTCAGAAAACCTTTGTCCTATGGCCGTGATGGTGAACCTATGGCATGCATGACACTGCGTGCCACTTCTGCCAGCATGCGAGAGGTCGCCTGGAAGAGCCCCACTGTGCATGCTTGTGTGCCTCCCACCAGCCAGCCGACTGTTGGGTATCTGCCACGCATGTGCAGAGGCATGCGGTGGGAACACAGGGGATTGTGCGTGCATGCACAGGGGGCAGGGAGAGTCGCGCACGCATTGCATCATGAGTGCAGGCATGTGAGAGCGCATGCATCGGGTGGGATTCAACTTTTTTAACAACCGGTTCTGTGGGCGTGGCTTAGTTGGTGGGTGTGGCTTGGTCATGTGACTGGGTGGCCATGGCTTGGTGGTCGTGTGATTGGCTGGGTGTGGCCAACTCAACATCGCTCACATCGAGGCACGCATCTCCTCGCCTGGCCTCTCATGACTGTGGGGATGCTGCAACAGTCGTGAAAAATGGTCGTAAGTCACTTTTTTCAGTGCCATTGTAACTTTGAATGGTCACTCCACACAAGCAAAGTACCAGCAAAGGAGGAAAAAAAAAACTCCAGAGAAGTTCCAGAGACAGGAAGTCTAGTCCTGCCAAGAATGTAATAAGGGTGGAGAGGCAGTTTCTGTAAGCAACACCAGAATGTTTCCTTCCTGCCTTCCTTACAGGATTAGGCCAGTAATTTCTTCTAACAACTGGTTTTCCGAACTGCTTAGAATGGTAACAACCGGTTCTAGCGAATAGGTGCAAACTGGTAGAATCCCACCCCTGGCATACATGCATGCATGCACACTTTTGGTACACAACATGGAAAAGGTTAGCCATCACTGCCCCATGGGGATTTAGGCGCTCTGTAAGCTTGCCTGTTTTCTTGCCTTGTTTCCCAATTAGGTAACATCATCAGTGCTAAAACTGGGGGGGGGGGGGGGGTTGGGGGGGGGGGGGAGAGGGGGGAGGAGGGGGGGGGGAAAGGGAGGAGAAGAAGAGGAGGAGGTTGTCTAAAGGGTTCTTGATACTCTCTGAGCTTGGTTGTTCCTTTGCAGTTTTATTACCCAACTAAGTAACATCATCAGTGCTAAAATAGGAGTCTTATGGAGAAAGGGAGAGAAGCGATGAGAAGGAGAAGAGAAGGATTATGGGGTTCTTGATACTCCCTGAGCTTGGTTGTTTCTTTGCAGACATTTTATTACCCAACTAGGTAACATCAGCAGTGCAACCTGATGGTGTTACCTAGTTCTGTGATGGCGAACCTATGGCACACCTGCCACAGGTGGCATACAGACCCATTTGTGCCAGCACGCAAGCTGCAGGCAAACTTACCTCACTGCGCATGTGCACACCTCACAGCTGATTTTCGGCCGGTTTGAGGCCTTTTTCAACCTCCCAAAGGCTTGAGGAAGGCTTCTGCAGGCTTCTGCAGGCTGAAAACTAGCCCTATTTTGTCACTTCCTGTTTTTCCGAAAATACCGGAAGTGATGAAGCGGGGCTAGTTTTTGGCCTGCAGAAGCCGTCCTCAAGCCTCTGGGAGGCCAAAAAAGGCCTCAAACTGGCTGAAAATGAGCTGTGAGGTGCAGTGCAGGTAAGGGGGCAGAGGGGGTGGGTGGGGGTTGCATGCGCATGTGTAGGGGCCGTGGGGGTTGGTGCACATTGCCTTCTGGATGCTGGCACACGAATGCAAGCGTGCAAGCGCGCACACAATTTTTGGCACAGGAGCCCTGAAAGATTAGCCACCACTGACCTAGCTGGATCATCAAATGCTGCAATGGCTGTGTATTTTGCTTTCCATATGCAATGGCTGTGTATTTTGCTTTCCATATTTGGGAAATACAACTCTGGGAATTGAACTCTCTGTTTCTTAAAGTTGCCAAGGTTGGGAAAACATGGAGCTTGAAATTCAGATTTTGTCCATCACACCCACAGTCTGCTAAGACCTAATACCGAAGGCTTAGAGTACAGAAGAAACGAATCTTGCTTTTCATAAAGAGATAAGGGAACAAAAATTGGGAAGGGTGCATTGTTATAGATGCACGATTGTTATCTAGTATAGGATTGAGTTCATGACACATAAAACTCACACTGCATGGCATGGGTCAGCTCCTTCAGCTGCTGTTGAGCCAGAGTGCTTAGTTTGTCCTCAGCTACCGATCCTTGAGACAGGTCCCGAAGTAACTCTGCATCTAAAGAGGAAATTAAATAAAGTTACGATGGTAACAACGGGATATTGGTGGCCTGAAAACAGCTATTACAATGTGCCTTCTCATTTAAAATTCACAGGAGCAGCTAGCAAAGCCACAGGAGCAGCTAGCAAATATACTCTCATGCAGTGGTGGGATTCCAAATTATGTGCTACTGGTCTGCGCCTGTGTGCAGCAGTCAAAAATCAGCCTCAGTGAGGGGAGCTGTTTTTTAGCTCAGCTGAGGCGTGGCGCACAATTCAGCTGAGCTGAAAGTCAATGGAACATAGGATGGAAAAGGGCGGGCCCAATTAGAGGAGGTATTTGCCGGTTCTCTGAACTGGTCAAAATTTCCGCTACCGGTACGTCAGAACCGGCCCGAACCAGCTGAATACCACCTCTGGTCTCATGACTTGCTTCCCAAAGTCAGGTGTGGTTTTATGCATTCTAGAATTCACTGTGTTTTGGTTCTGCTGTCCCCTAATTATCATGGAGCACCTTCCGTTCAGTGTGAAACCATGGCTTGTGCCTGGTTAACTTTGGCCCAAACTCAACCCCTGATTTAGTTCCTGGGAATTGCAACGGGTCCTTCGGGCATTGAAATGGTGCTTATGTATTTATTTATTTGATTTGTCAATCGCTTACAAGATAATAGGTATAGGTATAAACATAGTTATGAATACATGAAATGGATACATATAAGAAAAATAAAAAGGAACAATAGGATAGGGATGGTAGGCACATTGGTGTGCTGACACAATCACAATGTGGGGCTGCTCCAATGGAAGCCCAGCCCCCTCCCAATCCCCATAGGGTGGTGGACATCTTCACCGGTGATTTGCCTGGAGGCTGAACCATAGGAAGAACGGTTGCAGGATTTGGGTTTGGCTAGTCTAGGGAAAAGGAGGACTAGGAGGGACATGATAGCAAACTTCTAATATTTGAGGGGATACCACAAAGAGGAGGGAGTCAATTTATTCTCCAAAGCACCAGAAGGCAGGACAAGAAACAGTGGATGGAAACCAACCAAGGAGAGAAGCAACCTGGAATTGAGGAGAAACTACTGAACCGTGAGAACAGTGGAACAGAAGTTGCCTTCAGAAGTTGCGGGGGCTCCATCCCTGGAGGTTTTTAAGAAAATACTCGATAGCCGTTTGTCTGAAATAGTATAGGGTCTCCTGCTTGGGGCTGGAGTAGAAAACCTCCAAGGATGAGGGAGGAGAAGGAGAAGACAGAGAAGGATGAAGAAGGAAGATGAGGAAGAGGGAGAAGAAGGAGAAGATCAGAGAAGATGAAGGAGAAGATAGATGAGGATGTGGGAGGAGGAGGAGGAGAAGATAAGAAGGAAGAAAAGATAGGTGAGGATGAGGGAGAAGATCAGAGAAAATGAAGGAGCAGATAGATGAGGGAGGGGGAGGAGAAGATAGAGAAGGATGAAAGAGGAGAAGGAAAAGGAAGATAGATGAGGGAGGAGAAGGAGAAAGAGAAGGAAGAGGGGGGGGAAGGTAAGGAAGGAAGAGAAGGAGATGATGAGGAAGAAGATACATAAGGATGATGGAGGAGAAGAAAGAAGGAAAAGAAAAAGGAGAAGATAGAAAAGGATGAGGGAAGGGAAGGAGAAGATAGAGAAGGATGAAGGCGAAGAAGGAAGAGGAAAAGGAACACAGATGAGGGAGGAGAAGGAGAAAGAGAAGGGAGGAAAAGGAAGGTAAGGAAGAGGAGAAGGAGGAGAAGGATACATAAGGATGATGGACGAGAAGAAAGAGGAAAAGGAAAAAGAAGATAGATGAGGATGAAGGAGAAGATAGATGAGAATAAGGGAAGGGAAAGAGAAGATAGAGGAGGATGAAGGAGGAGGAGAGGAAAAGGAAGATAGATGAGGGAGAAGAAAGAGAAAGAAAAGGGAGGGAAAGGAAGGTAAGGAAGAGGAGAAGGAGGAGAAGGGTGAGGAAGAAGATACATAAGGATGATGGAGGAGAAGGAAGAGAAAAAAGAAAAAAGATGAGGATGAAGGAGGAGAAGAAAGAGGAAAAGGAACATAGATGAGGGAGAAGGAGAAAGAGAAGGGAGGAAAAGGTAAGGAAGGGAGAGGAGAAGGAGATGACGAGGAAGAAGATACATAAGGATGATGGAGGAGAAGAAAGAGGAGGAAAAGAAAAAGGAGAAGATAGATGAGGATGAAGGAGAAGAAGGAGGCCAAAGGGGATTTAGAGAGTCACCAGAATTGCAACCCAGAAAGAAGCATCGTTCCCTAGAACTAAGCATCGTAAACCTTCAGAAAGTTACCTTCGTGCTCTTTTAAAATAAATTCAATCGGATTGCTGACCCCCAGGCCAGAACAGCGAGGCAGGAGCAATATGACTTTCACTTTCTGCAGCTTGGAAAACGTGGGCTCGATGTTGGTAAAATCTTCATGAAGCAGCTCGATATCTGGCCAAGCAGGAGGAAGAGGAGGAGGAGGAGGGAAAACGAAAGGAAGGCAAGTTTAGAACGAGATCAAAGGGATGCCGCTGTTGTGGCCCGCCAGCTGCCAGCAGAACTGAGGGCAGACTCGGACAATGAGGAGGTTGGGGAGGAACATGGGCCAGTCCTGGAGTCTGGGGAAGGCTCTGACAAGGGCTCTGCATCAGAGGCAGAGATGGGGCCAGGGCTGTCCAATATTTCCCAGCTGCCTTTGAAGTCGGAGATAAGTGGGGAAGAAGAACAGCTGGAGCCTGTTTCAGATGTGTGCATGTGCAGAGCTGTCAGGAGAGGAGAACAATTAAGGAACGGGCCAATTCAGAAGGAAAGGCACATGTGGTTCCTCCCCAACCTCTTCACTACTGTCTGACTCTGCTGCCAGCCGCCAGCGGGCACAGACAGGCATGTGATTTCCCTTTTTGTAACCTTCCAATAAGACAAGTCAACGGGAGAGCCACATTTACTTAACAGTAGCAAGGAAGGTTGGGGTAAAACTCGCGTAATGTCTGTCTTGCTTAGCGACAGAAATGCTGGGCTCCATTGCAGTCGTCAATTGAGGACTACCTGTAAGGCCTCTTTTACCAAAATAATGCCACAGAACTTGTACTTACTTTTACACTCCATGCGCGCAAAGAGATCCTTCAATTCAGCCTCTCTGGCTGCAGACTTCACTCCGCATACAAACACCCGGGAAGTGTCCTGATTGGTCAGCACTGACATGTGGGCCACAGTGAGCCAGGACCCCATTTGTGCAATTAAAACATCATCGTCCATATTCAACAGAGCTTTCACCGAATGTACAGCCAGACTCCGGGAGTTATCCTAAGGATGAAAAGGAAACACCAGTGTGGGAATTATTCAGCCTGCCTCTAGCTGCAAATAGTCCAGCCCGACGCTGTGAGCACCACAGTTACGAAGCGAGAAATCCAGAAAGAATGCAAGGAATCCAGGAAAGTTCAAACGCCCGCACTCAACACACTCCAGGAATTCACAGTGTTCGTTCCCGACAAATGTCCCTCCCCGCAGTGTCTCCTTAAGTCTCAGTCCCGTCCACACCCCCATAACCCCAGTTTGCCTTGTGAAGAGGGGCGGAGCGCTCTCCTCCCGAGTAGTTGGGTCAGTCTATGCTGTTCTCACCTTCTCTCCACTCTCTGTGCTCTTAGATCAGGAGGGGGTGATCCCTGCTCATAGCCTGAGCTCTGTCTCTCATATTCACTGCTTAGCCTCTCTTGGGCATCCTGCCTGCGTTCCTCCCTGCCTACAAGCCGTCCCAATCCTGAAAGGCCCTAGATTGACTCAGTCCGCTCCTACCCACATTCCTCCGAAGCCAACGAAACCATCCCCTCAGTCTCCTTTGGCTCCAGTTCCAGCTCAACTTCCCCCGCCGATTCACGCCCCGATGGGGGTGTGACACACTTCTTCAGGGGAGCGCCCGCCCTTTTCACTTACTTGCAAGAGGAGCTTGTGATCAGTGTAGAGTTCCAAGGTCAGCAGCTTTTCTTTAAGAGAGGATGGGAAAATGAGTCCGTCTTCACAGTGCTTGTCCAGGCAATACGTGTCACCATCAAAATCGGAGATGGACTGTACTTTGGTGAAGCCTTCTTTCTGTAAGAAGCTGTGAACTTCTTCCAGACTGTGCAATAAACCACAGGTGTTATTAACAACGGCACATTACGGAAGCGAAAAAGAACTCCTCCCCAAAAATCAACTTTAGGTTTGTAGGTACAGGTAGTCCTTAACATACGACCAAAATTGAGCCCTGAATTTATGTTGCTGAGAAATTTTGCGAGTGAGTTTTTCCCCCATTTTATGACTTCTCCCGCCCCATTTGTTAAGTGAATCACTGTTGAATCAGTAACCCGGTTGTTCAGAGGTTTTGCTCATCACGTCAGTGTCCGTCCCAGGATACTGCAACCATCATAAATGTGAGTCAGCGGCCAAGGATCTGGATGTAAATGTTGTGGCCTGCTGGCAGCTAGCAGAGCTAGCAGCAAAATTGAAGAGTGTGCAGGTTGGGGAGGAACATGGGCCAGTCCTGGAGGCTGAGGAAGGCTCTACGTCGGAGGCAGAGATGGGGCCAGGGCCGTCTGACAGTTATCAGCTGCCTTTGGAGTCGGAGATCAGTGGGGCAGAGGAACAGATGAAGACTGTTCCCACTGTGCGTATGCACAGAGCTGCCAGGAGAAGGGAACAGTTAAGGAACAAGGGTCGATTTGGAAGTAAAGAAGCCACAGGAGGACAAAGACAGAGGGGCAGAGATGGGGCCAGGGCAGACTGGCAGTTATCAGCTGCCTTCAGTGTCGGACAGCAGTGAGGCAGGGGAGCAGCTGAAGCCGGTTCCCAGCCTGTGCATGCGTAGAGCTGCCAAAAGAAAAGAAAAATTACAAACTAAGGGTAGACATGGGAGTAAGGCCACAGGTGGACAATGAATGGCCCCCCCCATTTGAATTAAAAGAGGACCAAAAAGGGGAGGGGGATTTTGCAGGAAACAATTTGTTTGTTGCAGCAGTGTGAAGACCTGTCTGTGCATCTCAGAGACTGTGCTGAGTCCTTCCTTGTCAGCACTGCATTTGGAAATATTTACTTGGCATCTCTCCAAGCTAGATAAGGTCTGTGCTCCTAATGACACCCTTGAAAGACTGTTGGCCAGGCCTTTGGCTGAATGTGAATGCAAGAAATTCACCTGTGTTTAATAAAAGGGGTTTTGCTGGGACAAAGAGTCTGCTTAGTGCTTTTTGGAGAAGCTGCAGTCACAACATTAAGGACCTGACTGTGCCGCAATGATCATAAGTGTGAAAAACAGTCATTGGTCACATTTTTCAGTGCCATTGTTAACTTCCAATGATCACTAAGTGAACTGTTGTAAGTCAAGGGCTGCCTGTAGAGAAGGCATATTATCCAGCTTCTGGAGAATCTCAGGATCATTTATGGTCATGAATGAAGGTCTGCAGCGCCGAAATACTTCTCTAAAATGCTGAATGCCTGCCGCAGTGGCACTGATGAAGCAGGCCTGTGGAAAATGTCACAACATGCTGCAAAAACGCACTTTTGGGGCCACAAATCAAGTTTTTGAGAATCTGCAAATTGCCTTCTCCATGTTCATGTCTCTGGCTAGAAAGAAGGCTTGATTGGGGGGCATCGGTGGAGTCACCCCTCCAAAACCTACACATTAAAAAGGGCGTTAGTTGTGCGGTTACAATCTCTGTTTTGAGGGTTTTTTTATTAATTCTCCCTATGATCACCTGGGACAGAATCCACAGCGTCTGCAGAACTAACCCTAAAGACAGGCATAAAAGACCAAGGTGGGCTATAAATTTTATTTGCCATCAGTTTGTGAATTGGGCATCTCAATTTTGCAAGAATACCTGCAACTCTTTCATGTTTATTGAGAAAAGGAGGATACAATTTGAAAAAGAAGTTGTGTGATGCTTGTGTGATATTTGAAAAGAAGTTGTGATGCTTCTTGCAGGCGTTGCAAAATAGCATCTGGTCTGTAAACTTAATTTTGTTTTACGATGTGTTTTTTTAAAAAAATTCATTGACCAGCAAAAAATGGTAAAAGCGAAGTAAATGCTCAGTATTGGTGGTTCTGGCACATGTTTTAATTTATATTTATCATTTGTGCTTATTAGTGTTGTTTAAGTACACAATAAACCCTACCAACAGAATATCTGTTGCTTAAGGTTGAACAGTGGGGTCGTTGCTGCTCTCTGAGCTGGGTGGTTTTCTTGCAGATGTTTCATGACCCAACT